AGGAGGAGGAAGCGAAAAATCTACCGTCATATCATGATTGTGTCCCTTCTACTGTATGAAACACCATTGTGTTGCATACGCGTCACTTCCAGGAGGTGTTGGTGTCACAGGAGGAAGGGACCATAGCGGAGGATAGAAAGCTTGCGCAGGAAAGGAAGGTCCCGGCGGTTGACGGGGGACTAATCTGGTAAACAAAAATGAAGCAGTGGTGTTTGCGAAACAAACTGCCGAAATCACCGGAAACAGGAGTAGTGGTGAATTTGTTTGCAAGAAAGGAAATGCTGAGTATCTTCCAACGCCTTGGTCTACACAGAACTTAGGACACTGTGGTCCACAACAAGTCCAAGACGAAAGAAAACATATTTAGACGAGAGAGGATGGAATATCGAGACGACATACACTGCAACCATTACATCGTGAACACCACAGAACCGGCGGCCATCGGCAGTCATGAAAAGGCCTTAACGCCTCTGTCGCGCACTTTTGAAGGCAAATCCCGGGATTAGCCCGACTAGTAGGAGGGATACCACGAGAAAAATTGTAAGGTTGGCACCTACCTAGATCACTCCAGCTTCGTCGCGAAAAGCGCGGTTAGGGCGCTAATCTTTTTACGGGCCTGCAACCATCGACCCCAATGTCACGCTGCTCCTTACGGGCCGGCAGACCATCGACCCCATTCCCAACGCTTCCCACCCACCGCGAGAGGTGGTGAGATCAGCGTGCATTGATGTAGAGATCAGCGTGCTCTCTCGCGTATTTTGTCTTCTTTGACCGCCCTGTCTCGCCATCGTACCACATCCGACCTTATTGAAGGTTAAAGGCAAAAGTCGGGCTCAATAAGGGGGTATTATGGCGATTGAAACTGAGTATAGAGATGCGAAGTGGAACGACAGTGGAGAAAAAACTGAGAAAAACCGTCGACAAGGCCGTTAACAAAACCCTCTTTCCCACTAGCAGTGAAGGAGGCTGGCTTGGGAAAGAGGCACGTACAAACAAGTTTTCTGGAGATGTCAGTCGTTCTATCGGTTGATACGGCAATCAACCTAGCTGATTTCACACGTTATGCCAGCCACGCACCACTTCCGGAGGTGGGCGGTCGGAGCGCCGCCAGGCGGCGAAAGCGCTTAATACGTGCCCTGGAGCCTTATTACGGCGCCGTTTGGGATTCTGAGCATGGTAACGTCTCTGTGGGTGCGCAGCCATGCACAAAGACGACAAAAGGGATTGGTTTGGTCCATCAAGCCTGACTCGTGCCTTTGCGCGGAGAGGAGAGTATGAGGCGAGAGAGCGCTACAGATGAGAGAGCGCCAGACAACAGCCTGATAAAAAAATCTGCAGCTTCAGCAGCTTACTTTGCAAGGCCCAAGCGCTCTTGTCGGTTGGTTTCCGTGCACGGGAACGCCACATTTGTGATTGTCCTCTAGGGTTCTATACTACAGACCGAAGGGAAGCGTTCACACGACCTCTGCCTGGGTTGTGCCTTTGTGGTGTGCGCATTTGTTCGAAGCTTATCCTAACTAGTGATATCGCATTGTTATTCTTTAGTAGTGAACAGTATAAGTAGCAATCTTCTTGGTTGGTGAAGAGTAAGCCTCTACAAATGAAAATATTATAGATTATTCCTACCGTGAAAACTGATCAGGCCATCGCGATCCACGTCTCCTTCTTTGATCATTTCTCGAGCGTCAGTTTCGCTGAGCTTTTTCCCTAGTGACTGCATCACCATAAGCAAATCATCGACCGATATCATCCCATCGCCATTTTTGTCGAATACCTAAAATGAGCCTGATATTCCTGGTCGGTAAGGGAATGTAACAGTTGAGCGGCTATGTACGTTATTCTGCACCTGGGAACTTCGTTTTGGGAGATTTGAGATGTAGTCCAGGATCGAGGCGAGAACAGACTCAGTGAGCGAGAGCGCATAGAAGATGAGCGAGACGCAGACATGAGCGTATACCCATAACGGTGGATGTCCATTAATGGGTTCATAGTTGTAATCCGTCATCTCTTAGCGTACTTTTCACATTTTTAAGTTGCGAAAGAGGCATGGTCTCTAGGGGGAGACGTGCGTTTCTCCTCCTGGGGTCAGGTCACCACAGTTGCGCGATCATTGAAGCTTAAGGTTAAGTTTGGGTTTAGACTTAGGTTAAGGCTTATGCTTACACATTGGCTTATGCCTAAGCCTATGATTGGGCCTAGGCTTAGTCCTAAGCTTGCTCCGAGCGAATGAACGGCGTCTCAATTTTAGGTGACCTGACCCCAGGAGGAGAAACGCTACGCACCCGTCTCTAGGTTGTGAATCCAACTATCTTCATCATGGTAGATTAGTTCCCATGAAACAGAGTGGGCGTTCGAAGAACTTAAACCAAAACCATAAAGGTTCGGAGATTTCGTGTACTGGCAACCCTCGCAAGCATTTGCAGCTATTTGGATATACAGGGGGGGGGGCAAAAAAAAAAACATTTTGCCATGTCGCACTTCGGCCCTTTTTTCTTCGCAGAGATTGCCGTCGACGGGAGTTCCTCAGCAGAGTATTCCCTAAGTGTCCCTCTATAAGTGACGCAGGCCCTCCTTCACTGCCCTCACCGTCTTCAGAATATGACGTCATCTGTCACCGTCGTCAGCTCAAGGAGGTCTACCGTAACTGCTTCAGCCTGAAGCTCTTACAATTTCGTGAATCGATTCAATGTTGGATAGTTTTCTAGAGGCATTAGCTCCCACTATGCAAATCCCCTCGAAACTAGCTTTTCAGTAAAGGTCGTTATGGTACACGATCCTTCGAAGACCCCATTGAGCTCGACCAGTGCACCATGTTTCCGGGGCAAATTCTTCTGATGCCGTCCACGTAGGTGGCCACTATGAAGATTTTCTTATAGAATGAAATGCGCTCTTCAATAATAAGTTGGAACATTCGGTCTGAATTGAGCAAAGTGTGATTAAATCCATCTGGAAGTGGAGACAAAATGTCTTTTTTTATTGCCCCCCCCCCCCCGTAGATTGCGGGAGAAAACAAGTTTTGTAGTCTCGAAAAACAATCGCAAGTGATGTCGAAACAATTAAATGAACGTACACTGAACACTTCCCGTAGTTCTCGTTCCTCACGTGGATTCAACAGCGTTTTTCGCAACGCTTGAAGGAATTCGTCGATCTCAATGCAGCCATTACCTAAGTATGCAAAGTAGAACACACAGAAGAAATTTTAAGGGAATTTCCCTGGGAGAAGGTTAGTACACGGACCCTGATATCATGATTTTAGTATGCAGTGCTATGGTCAGCCGCTACGTCATTTCAGCCCCAGTTCGAAGATGCCCTGGGAAGGACTACCAATGAGATTGTTAGGTTGTTGCCCTGGCTGAAAGGCATCACTGAATCTACGTGTGGGTGTTTTTGCTGCTCTAATCTGATGCGTAAGCACTCGGGCTAAAATGTGTGGACTTTGGCCGACAGCAATTCCCTGGGGACCAGCCTGATGCAGCACACAGGAGATGTCGGCGATATATTACGCAACGGAACTGCACTCAGCAACATGATGGGTCCTCGGAAATAAGTGGACCAAATTGGACGCGAATTCGCTAGGGAGCACTAGGGCTCAAAAACCATCTTGGCTAATATGGTTGGATAAGTGGACGTCAGTGAAAAAAGAGGTCACGCGCCAAAAGAGTTCTTCTGTGTTGCAAAAATATGAAAAATAAAACCGAGAACGGGTAGATGCCACGAACTGACCATCAATATCGGTTTGGTTGATAATAGCTTCGATGTGTGAACTTGATGGCCGCTCGCCCAGTTGTATAAGCGCCATCTGGAACATTCTCGTCCATTCCAATTGATAAATTAAAATACAGGGAAAATCCGGGTACCTGACAAGACGCCCTCGCGCGGCGAGAAGGCAGAGACGCAGACTAACTTGACGCAAAGTAACTGCAGTGCACGTTGCAGCCAGGGTCAACCGTTACGTTGGACCGATATTGGAGCGACGTTGGACCGATGTTCACCGCTCTCCGCGCCGGCATTCACTCTCGCCACCCGCGAGCCGTCTGTGTCTCCGTGCGTACGTTCACTCTCGGCATTACTCTCGTCGTCGCGTTGGACTTTGTCCAACGGACGGTTGACCCTGGTTAGCCGTCGCGCTAACGAGTGTTCGTCTATGCTTCTCACCGTGCGATGGCCTCTTGTCTGATACCCAAAATCCCCTGCACACAAAAAGGTGAGAGCAGTTGGATATTGGTTATTCAAAGTCCTCACCTCTAATTCTTCCCTAGTTATCTTTCCGTCACCGTTCTTGTCGAATTCTCTGAATAGTTCACGTAATTCAGACTCTCGAATACATTCCATTCCGAGTTGACTACCGTTCGTGGTAGGACCACCAAACCAACAATCGCCTCTGGAACATCATTCATATGAAAACGAAGGGAAACCCTGCTATTTAACCACGTCAGCCGCACTGAACGAGATGGAAGAAGAGTCTTTCAATGCTCTCCATCTAAAAGAAAGGTGAAAGGCAGGGCAATGCAAGTGCTATCGCGTGCAAAGTCCGGGATCGAATTCCGAAATGTCGCTCAGTCTAACCAAGCTATCCCTACCACTGGAGATGGTAATTGATATTTGTAATATATATGTAATTTAATACAGTAACCTTGACTGTTAAATGAGGTGATCCTCGCTAATTCATTTAGTTTGCTGCCCATGCATTAAAATATCGCTACAATTTCGAGCGAGAGTCAAGTGCGTGGCGCGTCTCGAAAATTACTGATCAACGCCTAAAATTCACTCGTTTGTTGACTTTCAATTATACATATGAACTAGTTGATATGGGTGATATAAAGGGAAATATGTCAAATCAAGTCGAATATCTACGAGCGAAATTTCATCAATATCGATATGGATCTAAAACTTCATTATCATATTCAGTTTTATTATATTTCGCCATGTATTGTCCACCGCCTTGGAAGTTAGCGGACATGTGGATGGGTGGTTGTTTATGAATACTCACTATAGGATTCTTCTCTTGGCCGTTTTAGCCCTTTCCTTTCAGACAGGGTAAACCCTAGCGTTGATAGTTTCCCAAAAATTTAAGGACCTCCTTCCCGTGGTGTGGCCCTCACACGTCCCCATCTCTATAGACTAACTATCATGGTACCATTCGACAACCTCCAACTCCGCCCACTTTTCCCTCTGAAAGTGCCGTCGAATGAAGGATGGAGTGGTAGAGGTGAATATGTAAGGGACAGCAAATAATTTCATGTCATGCTTATTTTTAACGTTTTTCTCTCAAAGGAGGAATTCACGATAAGAACGAAGGTCAAAGAAGGGGAAAATTGCATAGTTGGGAGACAGGCGGACCTCCTGAGGGTGCTGACCGACGCGCAATTGGCAGCGAAAGATTTGACCTCGGCGATCTAGCATGGCTCACTCTTGGCGCGGTACGCCCACCGCCGCAGGTGTACGTGGCGAGTGATTAGATAGCAGAGAGAGCGTAGTGTTGAAGAGGGCACAGCGATGAGAGTCGCATCAATGCGCAAATCAACGGGCAAGGAAGGGGTCCCATTTCTCGGGTTTCGGGCCGTTTCAAATGGTTTCTTCTTCATCCCTGCTCCACTGACCACCTCTACCCTTATTTCCAATGAGCTACCTTTTCATCGTAAATTCTGCCTTTAAGTCACCGGACCCCGTCAGAATGACCACCTCTCACGCCAACGGCGCCTTCAACTTCCAGCAATACTCGACCCCCCGTCCGCATTTTTACAAAAAATGGTGAATCTTGGTTATTCCCAAATACACTCTATGTCCAAAATCGCAAATATGACTTCTCCCCAGGGTCAACCGTTACGTTGGACCGATATTGGAGCGACGTTGGACCGATGTTCACCGCTCTCCGCGCCGGCATTCACTCTCGCCACCCGCGAGCCGTCTGTGTCTCCGTGCGTACGTTCACTCTCGGCATTACTCTCGTCGTCGCGTTGGACTTTGTCCAACGGACGGTTGACCCTGCTCATCATCTGTTAGCGCATGGTCCCTTGTTAGGAATGCAATCTCAAGACCCCATAATCGACTGGTCTCGTGGAATTATTCAGACTGGGCAAACTGCTTTTTCTAGCCTGTACTGCTCGACAGTTCGGTCTAGAAAACGTGGTTTAGTGCCATGTGGCAAGTGCTTTGGCAGATCCCCGGAGCCAAGTCTTGGATCAAATCTCCCCCCGTGCAATCAGGCTTTTGACCTGGTATCGGATAAAAGGCGCGAGACTCGTCAAAGATAAAAACACTGAAGTCTGAGATGACGTAAAGAGAATAAGGGAACTCTCCTTGCCCTCGCTTGCTGTTGTAAAAAAAGCTAAAAAAGGTAGGAACGATGAGAAAAATGAACGAGAAAAAGGAGGATTGCTATAAAACGAGACGCAAAACACGCCTCAATTCCCACACGAAGGTAAAAAAGCATCACAAAAATATGTGCTAAATGTTGCACATAAAACATTCACTACGAAGGCATTCAGACGTAATAAAATGGGCGAAAAACGAATTGAGGCAGAATGAAGCGCACTCGCTTCGGACAGAATTTCGAAGCGTATTTTCAGAGACAGAGATCGAAATGTGCAATCCGGTCGCTGTTTATCCCCACGACAACAGGAAACAGCTCGAGAACTTCAACAAACACATCAAAAAGGGACCGTGATGTCACTAGAAATCCATTCAACTATGAACAGTCTTGGAATTCTGCCCCTACAAATCTGTGCTCTCGACGGGATCCTGGTCTCTAGCTTAAATCTATAAATGAACCATTGTTTTGGAGCAGGGCATCTGACCACGGCAACCTCTAGATGGGGTTAGCGCGGTCAGAGTTAAAACGAAGATTATGGCAGCAGACCGTCGGGTTTCTAGACAAATTTCCCGACAACCACTTCCACCTCCTGGAAACATCCATTGGGAGTGGCAAAAAAGATTTTCTGCTCATGGGGACATCAGCAATTTTGTCAGGCGTAGGGTGTGCCTTTGATGGAATTCTGACGCAAATTTTCCCTAAAATGCTCCTCCGTGAGAAGCATGTCCTTGTTCTTATCATCTGTAGGATATGAAATCCTACATCGTCGACGTCTACATCAAGAAGGACTATCGTAAGCGATCCCAGCCCTAAATAGAGTAGCACTTATCATGCAGGACCCCTGAATTTTAGACAACGTCTACAAAGTGGTCTACAAATCACCGAGGAACTCGTTGAGCTTGAACCGTGACCATGTCCCTATAGAATATTCTTCTGTCGTCCGTGGAGAAGGCTTTTTCGAAGTTGTTTGTAAAGACGTAATTGTAAGCATCGGGTTTGCATCAAGCACGGTGTGAGCGTCAAGCACCAGTAAGGAAAAGAATGTTCTACTTCCCCTCCCTCCCTTCCGTTCCCCCTCCCCCAATTTTGCCCTGCCCTATATCCCCCAGTAATTTTCTAGGACAGTAGCAATATGCTACAAAATCGCACTCAAAAGTGGTGATCAGAGGTAATTAATTCGAAAAGGGAGGGATAAATCATCTAATCACAGTAGTAACTTGGCAGTAACTAGCAGTTTCAGAAGTCTAGCATGATGAATTGTTAGTTCTGACGGCTTTACCGCGACAAGCAAGTAGGTGGAAAGAGTTGTAGGACAAAGCACTTGACGTAGATCATGTTTGGAGATACGACACTAATCCTGAATCCATTCCATTGCGATTTATTGGTAAGTCGATGCACATGTCAGTCTATCAGACAGACGCAGGCACATGATAGTCTGAGAGGAATGAGACGCTCTGGGTAGGATTCGACCCACAATTTGACTCATGAACTTTGAGCGGAGCCAATAGCCACTTTTCTCTCACATTTCAAACTACAAGCAAAGTATTGTCATAAAGTTGTTGCCTGGGATATTGATATTAAATAAAATTTAATCTATGATTTCAGTCAAAAATTTAAATTATTTTTTTATTCGTTAAATCTATTTGTTTCATATAAAATTCTTAAACCCCGCGTCCCAGTTTTGTGATTCGAGTTCTGTGCACAATTTTAGTTTTTCGATCTTTCTGATGGTGAATAGAAGATTTCCTTGGCGATTTGCCTTCTGTGACCACTTGATCACATAGAACTGTCATTGTAATAAGAACCAAATAACAAAGTTAGGTAAAAAATATAATACTACATACAATATAGGCCAGTGGTGCGTGAAATGAGAGATCCTTTTTTGCTTGAGAAAATTCTCTGAAAACGATAAACATGCTCCGATATCAGTTTACAGCACCCCTTCTTGAATTTCGCCGTGTTTCGCAATATTTGAACAACCCCGTGTTTAAAAGCATTGGGTTAATGGATCGAGAATAAATCGTTTCTAATTTTTGCAAGATCTCAAAGGAAGTGGCCGCGAGAAATCCCATGAGGAGGAGTGGGAAACCTACAAATCGGTTTGGGTAGGAGACTTACCCAGTTAGCGGGTAGTTGACACTCAAGGGGCAGGGACGCTTTATCAATGGCGTGACAAGGGCCCAAACCCAGTTCCGGGATGCAGCACCACCTACGCATCGAGAGTGGAAGGGATTGCAACCTTCGTTAGCATCCGATTCTTAGTCTGGAGTGCGTCTTATACCGAGCAGCCTTATCTTATCGTATCGTATCGTTCGTGGAGTTACGCTCCCAGCTCTTACCCCAACTCTTACCTCTGCTCGGGTCCTTCGATAGATAACGCGTGGGTCACAACCCTAGCTGGAAACCTGCACGATTGCTCCCTTTTATCATGGAAACTGTGGTGTTTCACACGGTATTACTCAACTTCTCCTTGGAATTATTCAAGTTTCCCTGAGTAATAGGGTTGTAAAAGCCTAAGGAAGATTCTGAAGCAATTTGTGATCACTCCAATATTTATGAAGAATGGTAACCTTGAAACCTTTCACAAAAGTCTCAAGCCACATTTCTTCCATCCCATTGGTTTCAAAGGTCATTCCAAAAGCTACTTCAAAAGAATGAATTTGGCGGAGCATCGATTAATCGCTTTTGCTATGCGCCTTGCATTCTATACTTCCATTCAAACTAGTAGTGGTACTCGAACGTGATATGCAATAAAAAGTTGCTTTTTGAGGTTAAGCGAGGAAAAATCGGTGCACTTTACAAACGAGTTTATTCAAATAAACCACCTAAGAGGTTTGGAAGGGCGTGGTTGTCTTTGAGAAGATCCGGCTCAAGACCTTTACCTCGGACCGCTAAGTTAGATACCTGTCAAGGAAACTATGCCCGAAATGGAGTAAGCACCTAATCATCAGATCCCCTAGTTTCCAGACAACGTCGGTAGAGGTCTACAAAATCACCCGAGAACTCGTGAGACTCAAACCATCAGCCACCGCACCCCTGAACATTCTTGAGCGTGAAACAATGCTAGCTTGAGAACATATAAAAACGACATTGAGTATAGAATCGAGTAAGTCCGCAGGAGGGCGACGAATATCATGCAAGGAAAAGATGTTCCGGCACCCATCCCC